CCCCAAAACCCCAAAACCCCAAAACCCCAAAAAAACCCCAAAACCCCGCAAGAGGAATAATTATTATAAAAGCTAGTTGTTAATATAAAATTTAATGTCAAAAAGGCATGTTTCATCTTTGATGATTTCAATTTAAACAAGCACTTAGCTTATAAAAATATTAGGAACCAAATGAATATATTAGTTATGTTTGAATCTAATAGACTCATGTCTTATTATGAACATGAATAAACCTAATTAGTCAAGATGTTTAGGAGAAATGACATATTTTTTAACTTGATTAATTAATCTAGTCATTGCTATAGGCAACCTCATATTTTGATTTATTTATATATTTTATACAAAAAAAATGAAAAAATGTACCTGAAATACTAGTCTTCTCCTATAAAGTATCGATATAATTCTTTAAAAATAACTCTGGAAAAATATCAATTGACACAAAGATGACATAATGATTCATTTGTATAAATCATCTTCATGAATTTACCAAGAAATGCTTAAACTTGAGACTCATGAATTCCTAGATGACTCTCTATTGATAAATGATTAAATGACGGGGTAACTTTGCATAAAATCCACTCTATTTAACCAAAGTTTTCAAAAAGTAGTGGTTTACGAGGTTTTTGTGAAAATTATCCAAGATAGGCAAGGATAAATGAGTCAATAGTCGCAATCAACCAATCAAGTAAGAGATAGAGATATGAAAAGGGTATAAATTCAAATTCTTAAGTAGAACTATAATTCATATTCTAAACAACTCAACAAAACAATAAAATGGCAAGAACCAAGCAAACCGCAAGAAAGAACACTGGAGGCAAAGCCCCAAGAAAGCACATTGCACACAAACAAGCTAAGAAATCATCAGCAGCCGCTGCTACTGGTGGTGTCAAGAAGCCACACAGATTCAGACCAGGTACCGTTGCTCTCAGAGAAATCAGAAGATTCCAAAAGAGCACCGAGCTCCTCATCAGAAAGCTCCCCTTCCAAAGACTCGTAAGAGAAATCGCTTCTGAGTTCAAGAACGACCTAAGATTCCAATCATCAGCTGTCCTTGCTCTCCAAGAAGCCTCAGAGGCTTACCTCGTAGGTCTTTTCGAAGACACCAACCTCGCCGCCATCCACGCCAAGAGAGTCACCATCATGCCAAAGGACATGCAACTCGCTAGAAGAATCAGAGGTGAGAGATCTTGAATCACTAAAGAGCACAAATACCAATATACAGATATTCAAATTAATCGTGTTATCTATAATTAATTGACTATAAAACCTATATTCACTTACTCTCTATACACATATATCTATATAAATACTATTTTTGTCTAAAGTTCCAGAAATATCTCCGATAGAGTTTGGATAATTTTCTGAAATTACTAAGTTTCTATATAAAAAATGGAGATTTTTCTTTGTTCTGTTAAGAATTCTTCTTATTTTAAACGGCAAAAATATTCTTAATCTTTATATATAATAAGGTAAATATAGAGATATCTTTAGACATGGAAAGATCTGAGGGGTTTTGGGGTTTTGGGGTTTTGGGG